GTGGGGTCCCACAAGATTTATGCTGGAAATGGGTAAACAATTGGTTTCATGTCAGACAAAACTGTAGTAGAATTCAAAATTGGGCTAAAAACGGGTGTCAAACAGGCGCAAAAAGTGGTGGCCTTCCCTTTTGATTCATCGCTCGGATAAATCGGACGCAATCACAATTTATACATACTTGGATCAGACATTTGAAAATTGGTTCTCCTCCCTGTGAACCCCTTTATGTCATATGGACGGGACCCCAGGAAAATACAAAGAGCACAATGACTTTGTTTCCACAGGGCATTCACCTTCCAATATAAATGTACTTCTAATATAAATATTGTCTTTCAGTTGCGGTGAGAATTCGAAACTTCGATACTCCGTTAAAAAACCTCCTACTTCACCTCTTCATCATCTGTGTGGGCCAAGTCCTGGGTTATTTTTATCTGAATATAAAGTGGGCATAGATCTAGGTTTTTTTTCAAACCAGAACGACAATGGGAACTGAGATTATCAATAGAAAACATTAGGCCCTGTTCACCAACACCTCCGAACCTTCAAGTTTTCCCTGCTAGATCAGATCATTCCATCCTATTTTCATCAAGTTGTCCTCTATTTTCTTCCAGACTTTGTAGCTTCGAATGATGCTAAGGGATTCCTTTCCCAAAGAACTCTAGTTCTGAAGGAGTCCCTTTCTTTGATCTTAACTCGTTTCTACCCATTTGCACGAATTATTGGGAGACAGTTTCTCTGTCAATTGCAACGACAGAGGAGTCCCTTTTGTGGTGACCAAAGTTAAAGGTCAGTTATCATATTTTCTGAAAACCCGTGATCAGATTTGGTTCAAAACTTCCTTCCAAACGAATTGAGTTGGACTCCGCCAGGGACTAATGTTTTGATGATACAAGCAAACCATTTTGATTGCGATAGAATGGTCATCGGCGTAATTGTTTTACATGTAGCTGCGGGCAGAATAACTTTATGCTCATTTCTTAAAGCATGGCTGCAACTGCTGCTGGAGCTCCAACATTTATTGAAGCACAATGTCCCAATTACATTGCAGAGTCTCTCTTTCCACCAAATGATAAAATCCCAAAAGAATCATATTTGTTTTCTAATTTAGATCCATTTCTAATCATGGGGAACTACGTATTAAAGAGATATGTGTTCGATTCATTTGCCATATCCACTCTTAAGGCAAAATCACCCTGTTCACGAGTTCAAGTCATAACAGCATTCATTTGGAAATGTTTCATGTCTGCTTGTGCAGCTTGTCATCTCTAATGATGCATTCATTGGACCTGAGAAGTAGAGCAGTGCCACCCTTCTCGGTAAATTGTTTCTGTAACTTTTTATGGATTGCAGCACAAAGCATGAACCATACTGATTATGATCAAGCGGATTTGGTGACCAAAGTGAGGGAATCAATACAAAGAATTGACGAAAATTTCGTGAAAAGGATGCATGGGTGATGAAGGGTTGATTGGCTACAATAAAAATCTTGGAGAGACTAAAGCCTTGATTCCTGGAGAGCTAATTGTTTGTATTTAGTTGGTGCAATTTTGGTGTATATGATATTGACTTTGCTTGGGGGAGGCCAATATGGGTAGCAAATTCTGTGTCTACAGATTCCTACTCTCCGAAGCACAACAATATCATGTTACTCGACCCAAGAGCTGGTGGGGGAATAGAAGTATATGTGACTATTGCAGCACAACNTCAACAATATCATGTTACTCGACACCAGAGATGGTGGGGGAATAGAAGTATATGTGACTATTGAAGAACAACATGCTACAGCATTCGACGAAATCGAGGAGCTTTGGTCATTCATATCAATTAATCCAAGTCCACTGGAATTCCAGCATTTGTGAAAAGTGGCTCTCAATGGAGTTCGGTTTCTGTTGGAGATGACAATAAAAAGGGTGCTTTTGTACTGTAATAATTACACTTTGATATTGAATAACATTAGTGTTTCTCTCTCTAAGTTCTCTCTATTATGTCATTTCTCTTTCTCGTTCTTGTTCGATTGTATTCTACATCGTCTAGTTTGGACGGAATAATATTATTGTTGGAAATAAATCCCACATCGCTCGTGGACAATATCTTGGGCCAACTTATAAACAATGTGGCAAACCCCTCTTACTGAACCGGTTTTGTAAGAGGGAAATTATAATAATTCAGGTGTTTAAAGATTGGAATTCAAAATTCAGGGACCAAGGTTTATTATTCAAAAATCAGGTGATATAAAAACTCTTAAC